GTTTGCAGAGTGAATGGGAAGAGAGCGAGTCTGCTCTGAACCTTTTTTGCCTATGAATGAAGCTGCAGGAATCCTCACCACTGCTATACTGAGTCTTGAGATGCTGGCACGTTGCAATAACCCCCAGTCTAACATCTGAAGCCTCGATCTATAAGTTCAAAGCTGCACTCAGGAAATTTACAGCTGAACATGCTTATGCAATCAACGGAATTCCGCCACCTTGCAGTTGATTTTCCCCATTTCTCTCCTCATCAATCCCTACTTGTCTTTGTACATACATCTACATCTACTGTTCTTTCAGTCAAATCAACCCCTCGATAGGCACATTGCCTTTGGGTCATTTCATAATAATAATAATAATAATAATAATAATAATTCAAAGGATCAGTCGGGGAAGTGAACTGCCTGAAAAGAGAAAAAAACGCCAGACCCACCAGGACTCAAACCAAAGCAGGGTCCCAGGTTTGAGTCCTGGTGGGTCTGGCGTTTTTTTCTCTTTTCAGGCAGTTCACTTCCCCGACTGATCCTTTGAATAATAATAATAATAATAATAATAATAATAATAATAATAATAATAATAATATTAACTGGTTTGAGGGAAAGAGACAAACGGGAAAAGTCTGAAGAAAAAATTGACTGTCACCACCAGGACTCGAACCAGGGACCTTCGCTTGTAGCCAGCGATGCTCTAACCACTGAGCTATGGTGTAGTCGTCGTCCAAGCAGAGGCCGTTCAACATTTTCCTAATAATTTTCCTAATAATAATAATAATAATAATAATAAGTAATACAACTAATGGTACACAAACTGGTGGGACCACAGCTGGACGTTGTTGGCTTGCAAAGCATAGGTTCCTTCCTGGACCCCCTACTCTTCGCAATGTTGTCTTATCCTATTCTCTGCACTCTTTTTATGAGTAAGGTCTGTGTAAAGAAGAAAGAAAGATGCACGTGTTCACATGCAGACATCACATGGCTTAGGTGCACTCGATCATAGTGCTACCAACACCCTATCACCTACTTTGGTCTTATCATGTTGAATTCTTTATTCGCACGATGGCACCATCGCCAATAAGAGATTGTTGTTGTTGTTGTTGTTGTTGTTGTTGTTGTTGTTGTTGTTGTTGTTGTTGTTGTTGTTTCAAATCTTTATTCTCACGATAGCCAGTGGCCAATAAGAGTTGTTGTTGTTGTTGTTGTTGTTGTTGTTGTTGTTGTTGTTGTTGTTGTTGTTGTTGTTGTTGTTGTTGTTGTTGTTGTTGTTGTTGTTGTTGTTGTTGTTGTTGTTGTTGTTGTTGTTGTTGTTGTTGTTGTTGTTGTTGTTGTTGTTGTTGTTGTTGTTGTTGTTGTTGTTGTTGTTGTTGTTGTTGTTGCTGTTGTTGTTGTTGTTGTTGTTGTTGTTGTTGTTGTTGTTGTTGTTGTTGTTGTTGTTGTTGTTGTTGTTGTTGTTGTTGTTGTTGTTGTTTGTTGTTGTTGTTGTTGTTGTTTGTTGTTGTTGTTGTTGTTGTTGTTGTTGTTGTTGTTGTTGTTGTTGTTGTTGTTGCTGTTGTTGTTGTTGTTGTTGTTGTTGTTGTTGTTGTTGTTGTTGTTGTTGTTGTTGTTGTTGTTGTTGTTGTTGTTGTTGTTGTTGTTGTTGTTGTTGTTGTTGTTGTTGTTGTTGTTGTTGTTGTTGTTGTTGTTGTTGTTGTTGTTGTTGTTGTTGTTGTTGTTGTTGTTGTTGTTGTTGTTGTTGTTGTTGTTGTTGTTGTTGTTGTTGTTGTTGTTGTTGTTGTTGTTGTTGTTGTTGTTGTTGTTGTTGTTGTTGTTGTTGTTGTTGTTGTTGTTGTTGTTGTTGTTGTTGTTGTTGTTGTTGTTGTTTTGTTTTGTTTTGAATTCTTTATTCTCACGATGGCACCATCGCCAATAAGAGATAATTTTGTTGTTGTTGTTGTTGTTGTTGTTGTTGTTGTTGTTGTTGTTGTTGTTGTTGTTGTTGATGATGATTTTATTTTCATTGGCAGTGACCAAACGAGCAGAGGCGCTCAATAACAAGGAAGCGAATGAAGGTGCCGAGACGCACGAGGGGACTTAAAAGCAGAAAATAGTAGAAAATGGGGAAGGGGTAGGTGGAATCTGGTTCGAGATGGACAATGAGAGCTCTAATGCCAAGGGGCAACGAAGAGGTTGGTGCGACTTCAGCGATACTAAGGGAAGTGTGTGTTGCTCCCTACATGAGAGCTCGCGGTTTTCCTGCCGACTTGAATTCTCACTTGACTGACTCACGACTGCCATCCAGACAACGGAGAGTCGCCGTAAGTTTGTATCCCTGGTGATGGTTGTGCCTGGAGAGCACTATTATAAGTGGTGCTCTTCAGGCACAATCTTCCTCAGCGCACTAAAGCTCAACTGATGAGGGTGAATTCCCCGAGACACTGTGTATTGAGCAGGGAGTGGTGCTTTCTTGCAGGTTTGCCGAGTCGAAGGTTCGATGGACTTCTCGTGTGCTCTGGATGGTAGTCGTGAGTCAGTCAAGTGTCAAGTCAAGTCGGCGGAATAGCGCGAGCTCCAGTGTGCATGGGGAGCAAACCCATTCCAGCATAAAACAAAGGAAAACAGAGCCTACAGGTTACTGTAAACTATCATGACTCAACAGAAACGGTAAAAAGACCAGCGACCTTTCTCCCGAAATCACCAATTCAATGACATGGACAAGAACATTAGCAAAAGAACACCAAACTTGCATTTGCGCTCGGCTACAAACCCGGGGGAAGGGAGCGCTATTCAAGAGAGGGCTTTATTTTCCAACTGACTCTTATATACTGGGGCACTATTCGAGATATAGCAGTATTCAAGAAAGGGCTCTAATCACGCGACTACGATATTTACATGCAGGTCTATGTTGGATTCACTTTGCATTTTTCTTTCTTGCATTTTCTATCACTACGAATACGAATAATACTATAGCAGTGAGACTGAAAGAAACCGAGAGCATATTACTGTTTTGTGTGTTTTCTAGTCACGCGCACTGTCTATGCGCTTCCGGTCGACCTCGTACCTTACCACAGGAAGCAAAAGTCAGCAGACTAAAATGATGGTACGTACGCAAATGTGCATCCTGGATATAACAAATGTGTTTTTGTTATCATTCAGCAAATAAATTGGGCAAAATGATTCATCGCTACCCTCAGAGTGCCTTTCCAGTGTTCTATTAGCACCCCTGGTTCTCAATTTATTGTTCTTCCTCTCCTGTGACTTAAAAAATCTCAGATTTTGAGTTTTTTGCACTCCATACATATTTTTTATTTTATTTTTTTTATTGGTTTGGTGAGACTCCCATGATAGGTATCCATTTGGACGCCCTCACTGGAATGACGAAAGCTGCAATCCGTGCCTTCTTTGGCTTTCCGCCGTGGACTTCCACTGCAGGGCTCTTCGAGAGACTCTGTCTTCCTACCTCGAGGACGCCCTTGCAGCGAAAATCCTAATATTCGTTCGCCGCTGCATTCATGGCCGTTCAAGTGTCCTGTTTAGGAATTACTACGCCAGAACACAGAGTGATCTCACCCGTGGAGCTGACCAAAACCTATTGCAGATACCCTTCTGGCCCGGTCTTTCTGGTCGAGGTACGATCCAGTTCATTGGTACAATTCTGTGGAACAAGACACCGCCCCTGATGCGCTGTGAACCTTGTCACGCCCATTTCTGTGCTCTCTCGAAAGCGTCCAAGTATTCAAAATAGGTCAAGTACCCACCATCCATCCTACACAGCAGTGATTGCATTGTTTCCTGGACGTTCATAGAAATTTGTTGATAAAGGCAGTGGGTGAGCAGAATTTCGCTCGTTCATGTGCCAGTGTTGTTTAGGCTGAGGTGAAAGTCAATTCATCCTCACTACCAGCATTGTTTCGTATCCCAAAGAACATTGGAGTTGCAGAGAGGAAAATGTCCGTATCAAACCAGAAATTTCTAATATGCAAAAACGTACATGTACCAATTCGCTACCTTCTTATTGGGAAGAAATTCCCGTTTGAATTCTGCGAAGTAAAATAAAGTAAAAAAGAAAGAAAAAAGCCAGATTCAACCTGTCATGTACAAATACTGCGGGACCAAATAAGCCGAAATATAATATGCACAAAGTAAACATGGGGGCAGCGCAAACTGCAGGAAAAGAAAAAAGAGCTTTCTCCCCGATGTCGTTCAGTTTTACCTTGGTCTCGGCAAATAATAGTCAGGTTTCCAAGCAAAACGGACTACAATCTCAGTTATTTTGTTGCCTGTTCGACCATCTTTGAAGTTATACATTGTACGGTTGAGACAACGAACTAAAATAAAACAAAACAAAACAACATTAAAACTGCACTGTGCCTTGCAATTGCAACGTCCCGCAATGTCATTCTATGCACAGCAAACAAATCGTGACGTTTCCTGTTGGGAGGTTTCAATGCTAAGTGGTTTTTGTGACAGATGACCGTCCCCGTTGGATTCTCTTTACCTACATTCTACCAACCTAATTGTACACTCAGAACATTCTCCAATGTCACAGATGAACAACATGCAAGAAACAGGCACGGACAAGTGGAGCATATTTCAGGCAATACTGGCACGTTTTCAGCTGCCCAATTCTAGACATGGGGGCAACGCTTCACACAATAACGCAATTGAGAATAAGTATAGACCAAGACACCATCACCTGTGAATATTTGACGGCACACTACTATAAACCCTATCCGGATATGATGAACATACCAAAATACAATGGTGACACGGGTCCCAGTTTACGCACGTGAAAGGGAAAAACTCGGAAATGTGTAACTGTCACAACAAAGCATCGATACGAATCCCGATCATCTAAAAGGAAAAGGAACACCTGTGCGATGATTGACTAGTGGCTGAAACTTAAAGGTACAGCGGAAAACCTTCCTTCCTTTGTATTTCTGTAATATGAAACGCGAGGTTTCAAGATCCAGGTTATTGCGACGGTCACCAGAGAGCAAGGCCTATAAATTCAGCGACACCACGTCAGTCTTCATCAGTCTTCCTACCAAGTCAGATTATAGTAGAAAGATTAAGAAATAGGCAAGCTAAATTACAACTTCTTCCATTTGCAGTCTTGAAATGTCTGCCCCGAAAATTCTTTTATTGCTTTGTGCAATGATAGTTGTCTCTCGTTGCGATATAGCGAGGCGTTCAGAGCCCGAGAGTGACAGTGATGAACAATTTTCGGACAGTGTCGATAGTCGTGACGATGAAAACCAAGACTTTCTTCCAAAGTTTTACAACCTCGATGATATCCCCGATGCACCAACGAGTGCTCCTGGTGACAACAAACGAACAGACTGTTTGGAAGAGCTGTTCACCCAAGCTGGATTACATAAGGAGTCCATCCAGGGCTACATTCAGGCCTTCCGAAACAACGCGTTGGACGTCGATGCCCTGTACGGACTAAACTTCGTTGAACTTGTTACTCTGCTTCAGGGCAAGGCTTTTGGTATCAGCAATGCTGGAGACATCTTCCGACTGCACCACTGTATCCATGGCTACGGAAAATGCATCATGAAACCGTTCTGCCAGAACGGTGGACGATGTGTGCATGGAGATATCATCCGACAGCATATCTGCCAATGTCCTAAGAATTTCCAGGGCGACCATTGCCAAGAGAAGGTGGAGGATCACCTCAGTAAGGTAGAAGACACTCTTGTTTTACTTCAGCATCAAATTGCTCACTTTGGTGTTTCTTACACTCGCTGGGGAAAGGAAACGTGCAACGAGACAGCTGGAGCTTCCCTAGTTTACACCGGGTTCATGGCTGGTTCTCACTTCACTCACAGAGGTGGTGCTGCCGAATATCTCTGCTTGCCCGAGGAGCCTCAGTATGGAGACTTCAAACCTGGAGATCAGTCAGGAAACGAGGTCTACATTACTGAGTTTGAAACTATTCATACATTTGAGCCTTTCACCGGCGTGCACAATCACAATCCACTGTGTGCAGTATGCCAGGCTGACTCTCGTGTGTCCCACATCATGATTCCAGCTAGAAATACCTGTCCTTCGGGCTGGACTCTGGAGTACCATGGATATCTAATGGCGCAGCATCATACACAACGCCGCACAAAGAATGTTTGCGTGGATGTGGACCCAGACGTCAAGGGAACATCAGCAAGCCCGACTGATGGAGCTCTATTGTACTTCACGGAGGTCACTTGTCAGAGTGAGATGTCATGTCCCCCATACGACAAGCAGAAGGAGCTAACATGTGCAGTATGTACACGCTAAGAGTAAGAGGATTCCATTCACCGGAGGAGCTTAATGATCCCTGCGGGTCTGAGCATGGTAGTAATTTCTCTAATCCCAGACGGCACATTAGCTTATACAGGTTGGTAACTGCCCACACCATGTACATGTACTAGCATTCAGCGTTTCTTAGTTCTGTATTTTTACAAAAAGGTTTGTCCCCCATCTTGTTTTGGTTTCAACAGCAGTTGGCCGACATAATAGCAATTGTAAAATGCATCCCGTTCACACATACATGTATGCTATGAACATTTCGCAAACACGTGTTTTGATTTTTTCTCCAAGATCTCACTAAAAAAGAATCACTTTCGAAGGAACATTATTGCCTGTAGACTTTCAATGAACTTCCGTAGAGGCCCTTAGACCACTCGCTCTAAATCTCTCACAGTTGCCAACTTCATTATTTTGGCACTTTGGCACTTTGTTTGTGCTGAATTTTCTGTCTTTTCTACTTTTCGATCACTCAGGCTGACTACATCTGTCTCCCCACGACCGTCACTATACGGCCTTACACTATTCTGAACAACTATCCAACTACTATAAATGTTCCGAAATCCAAACGGGTACCCTTTTACTAACGGTACGTGAGATTAACGTGCTTCGAACCCGGGTCCCCGGGTACCCCGGGTACCCGACACACCCGTTTGACCCCCTAATTTCCAGTCTTTGTTTTAATAGAAGCATCTTCTCCTTTCCAACGCTTGTGACTCCACTTCTCACCTCCTTCTGGGAGGCCTTCATTTTCTCCCGACACTCTCATTGCCGTGAAGGATTTCTTCCAAACTCGCACTGAATTTCCCCACAGGTGCTACCATCACTTGAAGCTATAGTTATTAGTTTGAACATTTGGAAAATGGCGTCGTGATAGCACTGTACTGTATTTACCCGTGTCTTAAAATTCCTCTCCCACAATCTGTGTTACTCAAAGTGTTACCTACTATCTACGGCTGCATTATATTCATACTTTTAAAAAGCATTGGTTCCACGTCTAAATTAAAAATAAGTTAACGTCCGACTCACAACCCTGATAGAATTGGCAATGTCTATAAGCGTTCCTCTTTGAAATGATGGGTAATCGTGTATGCTCTTACTTGTGCATACATGTATGTATGCATCTTGTACGTGTATGCGTGCTTGAGTGTCCAACCTGTTGGAAGGCTACCTTTCTTTCCAAAGCATTTGGAACTTCAAGGTACCAGTGCATCTAGTGTCTGCTTCTATCAAAGCAGCGTGCTGTCTATACTGGTTACCCGAGCAAGTGTAGGGTGTGCATAGGTAACTTGGCCGTTTATGCTGATGTACTCCATGTGGTGTGTGCATTGGTGGTCAATTCACATGGCTTCGCCAGTTGTGTGGATTAGACAGTTATCTGGCGCAAGTCTTGATCTGTCTCATTCAGATCTTGTTCGTTATCCTGTCCCCGGGGAAAATCGCGATTCCGCGGCCGCGTTTTTCCGGTTTTTTTGCGATTTTTTAAAAGACCGCGTTTTCCGCGATTTTCCCGCGTTTTTTGAACTTTTTGTTGCACTACACGTACACACAGTGCACTGTTCGGTCAGCAACGTCTCATCGTGGGGACTTTGTACTCACAAAGAGTCAAATATGACGAGTGCTTAGACCAGAGACTTGTAACTGATTGATTTCACTACATACTCACTGAAAATTGCCTCATATCAACTACAAACTTGCCGCATCATAAAATATTCACCGCATATTTACCGCATATTTACCGCAAATTATGCCATATTATGCCGCGTTTTTTCTCGCGTTTTTTGCGATTTTTTCCGCGATTTTCCCCGGGGACAGGCTATCGTTGCTATAAGAGAAAATCTGTGGGTGCACATCCAGTGCATTTGCAGATTTGCGTGCTTCTCTTGCGACGGGCGTATACATGGTACATGGTGCTTGATTGGGTGTACATATATGTACGTGTACAATGTACATGTGGGTAGGTGTAGAGTTATTTCAACCAAGGTACAATGTAGAAACTAGAGTATTTTCATACACACGCACTTGATAGGGATCTAAAAGCGTTTCTGCTGTAACTCTGAATTTCACGGTTCTAACCGATCATGTTTGAAGAAGGGCTGAGGCTTCCTGCAGCTTCATCTGCGAAAAGAATTCGGGTGGACACACCCATTCCCATAGCGCTGCACATCACATCCGAACCAGTTCCGTTATTTTTGCAACGTTTCGGCACTTGGCCATCGTCAGCTAATAACAATGATTACCACTCCCTTGGTATTGACTCACATAGATTTTTGCCATACCTAAGCAGTCAAATATTCCTGCATATTTGACTCCTTAGGGCTATATTGACCGCTTATATTTGACTCCTTTTTAGCGATTGAACACATGCTTTGGTTAGTCGTAATAAATCTAATATTGACTTCGTACTTGGTCAGTATAGGAAATAAAATACCTCGTAAAAGACCTCGGCTTCGCCTCGGCCTTTTACTTGGCTTTTATTTCCTATATTGACCTCGTACTCAGTCTGATACATACCGTGGAAGCCACACAAGAGCAGTATATACGCAGAGTGTAGTGCCAAAAAGATGCGAATTATGTCACCTAGTATGCAGAAGGGGGGGGGACAGAGAGAGAGAAGGTGCAACTAGCACATCACGGAGAAGAAGCAGCAGAATGTAGCGCGCATTGTGCTCTGTGAGGTGAGGGCGCGTGCCATGGCCTTACGCAGAGTGTAGTGCCAAAAAAATGATGCGAGTTATGTCACCTCTATGCAGAGGGGGGGGGGGGGGGGAGAGAAGGTGCAACTGTGCACATCACGGAGAAGAAGAGCACGCCATTGTGCTCTGCGAAGTGAGGGTACATGCCAACTAATTATGGTGTTAATTCTAGCACATTACAGGAGGGGAGCACGGAGGCCCATGCGCCAATGCACTATGAGGTTAATCACAGAATGTGTGAGAAAAGCAGACAACTGCGAAATCCCACACTTCCATGCCAAACTGTTACCACCAGGGACGCGACGAGGCATCAGGAACAGAATGGATTTGAGTGACCCGCCTCATATTATATTCAGTGATATTGAAAAAAATGGAATAGCAGCAGGGGAAGCTGAGAAAATTCAATTTAAATCCCATCCCGTGCTTATGTTGACATGGGGCTTAGCATCACGAATCTCAATCGCCTCGCGCAGTTTGCGACGGGCTCGATCAGGCTCTCTTCATAAATAACTATTACTTCAACTGCAGAGAATGCACTTTGCCCATATTTGAGTTTGCATCCAGGGTGAGTGGTACAAGAATGATGGCCCCATGGCCATGGCTTGTCGAGTTCCTGTCGTCTTGCCTCACCATTATGTTCTTCCAGGCGAGTTTCCAGAAAGCGGCCAGTCTCACCAACATATTGTTCCGGACATTCTTTGCACTTCAGATGATATACAACATTCTTCTGCATACATACATCCTGTCCCCCGGATATACACGAGATACACGGCCCCTTTGGGCGTCCTCTAATTTTCGGTTGTAGTGGATTTGCAGCCTTGACACATAGAGGAGGAACGAGGGCGGAGCGACACAATGTGCGCATCAGGCTACCAGTGTGCTCATAAACGACTCTAACCGGAATTGTATACTTTCTGATTGCTTTATTCACTGCTTGATGTACTTTATCTGACTTATATGGAAGCTTTAGAAATGCGCAGCATGGGTTGGCACGGCGACGACGCTTTGGCCTTATGGAGGAAGTGCGTGCCTCTTCAATGATTATCTCTGGGTAATTGTTCAATCTTAATTGTTCATGAACCCTCGCTTCACTTTCTGCACGCATTATGGTATTCGATGAGAGCCTCTGAGCTCTTAGAAATTGTGACGAAGCAACTGCCAATTTGATATGGTGGGGAACTGCCGAAGTATAATCAGTAAGTAGACCGCTAGCACATGCCTTCTGGTACAGCTTGTATGCCAGCTTGCCTTCCTGGATCATAATTGTGATATCCATATAATTTATGGAGCCACTCACCTCGCTGAGCTCATATGTGAAGTTGATACTTGGGTGTGCATAGTTGAAATGCTGCACAAACCGCATCAAACTCTTTCTGCCGTGGGTCCATAGCAGCAGGATATCATCGATGTAGCGTTTGTAGAGGAGCGGTACTAACGGAGAACCCTGCAGAAGCCTGGCCTCAACGGTATGCATGAATAAAATCCCAAATGGGGGTGCAAGATTGTTACCCATTGCAACCCCATCCACTTGGTGATAGATCTGATGGCCGAATCTGAAATAGTTGTGACTGAGAACAAACAGCAGCAGATTCCGTACCCCGCTCACACTCAGCCAAAACATGTCGATCCGCTGGGAATACTGCTGCAGCATATCCACCACTGCCTGAACGCCCTCCCGAATAGGTATGCTCGGATATAACCCGACTACATCCATGGACATAACAATGGTGCCATCGGGGGCGTTCAATCCCGGACATGCGTCACAGATGTGGGTTATTGCTTCCGTCGTGTTAGCCAGGTGGGCCAACCGATCATCATACAGTAACTTGACTACAAAGTTCAGAAGATTATGATTGATAGGCTGCAAGCTAGGATCATGGCGCAAATGAATGATCCGGGCTGATAGTGTGGTATGAAAATGATTGCGTGAGTTGGGTGAGGGTGCAAAAAATGGCGCAAAAAGAATACACTTTAGGTCCACATGTAGGCTCATGCAACCACATGTCCTTATAAGGGAGGGGAGGAGAAGAACATTGGGGTAATTATGAGCAGCACCCCACCTGCGAGTAGCGAAAAGGTTATGTAACGGCCGATGGTGAGAATTTTGAAAGGCAGTACTTATTTTCATGCCTGCACTTGCTGAGTAGCTCCAATATTTTTGTTGATGTTGACACGCTTGTCCGCCCGAAGGATCTCTAGCTTCTCTCTCTTTGGCACAGAGAACAGCGCATGGTAACTTATGTTACTGTACCCTGGCCGAGTAACTGACCAACCAATACTCTACTGGCTGTTTTGATGCTTCAGGTGCCAGACACACATTGATAGTTCCGTGCTCTTTTCATGTCTCTCATGTCTGAATGATGTTAAATGGTTGCCGTGTCTATTCTTGAATACTGACTCCGTAAGATGGATATACTCCTTCTGTCTGTCCTCTCCGGTTACTTGGACGGTTGCCTTGCACACAATAGAACTCCCTGCTGTCTATCATATCCAAAGTGATGGAAACAATTGTCAATCGTCAGATAACCAGTTTCCTGGAGTCCCACAATGTCATCTCTGCGAAACAGTTCGGGTTCAGAAAGGCCCTGAGCACAGCCGACGTCTTAACTAAGCTCCACTGTGAATGGTCCCGAGCAGCCGGCCTAGGAGGAGCCGCCCATGTTTTGGCGATAGACATAGCAGGCGCCTTTGATAAAGTCAGCCATGCTGGCCTGCTGCATAAGGCTTCCGTGTACGGTCTAGACGGCCCGCTTCTCGGATGGCTGGAAAGCTACCTGCACAACCGGCGCCTGCAGGCTGTTGTGGGCGGCCAAGAGTCCTCCCTGCACCATATCCAAGCAGGGGTACCACAAGGTAGCATCCTTGGACCAACGTTATTTCTCCTGTACGTAAATGACTGCGAGGACACCTTGCCTGCTGGTGCTGAGCTTGCCACGTATGCAGATGACACGACACTGTATCAGTGCATCTCTGCCACCGCCAGCATATCCGACTCTGCGGCACAACTCCAGGAAGCAGTGGACGCCGTCTCCCACTGGGGTTCCAAGTGGAAGGTCACCTTCGAGCCATCCAAATCTCAGGCCCTCATCATCGACCACCGCAAGCCTCCCCCAGAGTTCCCACCAGTGCTCTTCAATGGAGTGACTGTTCCTGAAGAGAAGGAAATTAAACTTCTGGGCATAGCATTCGACTCGCAGCTGTCCTACGCAGCACACCTCCGGGCCGTGGCCTCAAAGGCTGCCCAACGCCTACACTTCCTGAGAAAGGTTGCGCCCCTGTTGGACTCCAGCGGCCGCACGGCAGTAGTAAGTGCGGGGCAGGTTCTGGCACACTTTTTGACCTTTGACCTTTGGTCCAAATAAGGCACACTGTGTCGGTCGTGCTGGGTCTGGCCCCGGGATCCCCCAGAGTTTGACCTTTGACCCCTGGCATGCCATAAATGTCATTCTTAAGGTTCTTTTCGCCATAGATGGCGAACGTGCACTTGTGCACGTTCGGTGCATTCGCACCGGGTAGTAGTAAAATACGTACTATCCCCTGATTTGCACATCGTAGATGTGCATTGCATGCAGTGAATGACATATTGCGCATGCGTGCATACGCACGCGGAGCGTGTGACCTTCAGTGGTCCTATGCGTGTGGAAAAGACGCAGTGCAACACAAGGTGTACTAGTACACGTGTCATTATACTACTCCCTGATTCGCACTTCGTAGATGTGCAGCAAACAAGCTCACGTTCCGTGCATTCGTTTTATTTGCACATCGTAGATGTGCACTGATTGACAAGTTGCCCATGCAGAGCATGCCTAATCGGCTTTTCGATCGGTTAAGAGAATGTTCAAATTCGGCCATATTATGAGCCCCAAGATCAGAACTCGGCTCAACGTAGTACTTGAAGTCACCGTTCCCATTACGTCATGTACATTTACACACACTCTGTTGAAGCACTGAAACATCGGTTTTCGGCGAATTCAACAAGCGAAATTTGAAAATTCGGCGAAAAGATGGGTGATTTCTTCAAAACCACTTTCTTCGGCGAATTTTTCGGCCGGCTGATTTGGGAAATGCCTACTATCAATGCAGGTGCATTAGATGCATATTTCTATTTTGATCGGGATACAGTAAGAATCAACCGGCTACGCCCGGAGTATCATGCATCAAAACAATTATTGAAGGGGTGTCACAGTGAAGCAGTGTTGCTACGCACCACAAATCCCCTCTGCACTGTACCGAATCTATACTGGAGAATCCAGAGTGGCCAGCAAAGAGTCACAACCCGCCCGTATCCAGTCACACTAAGGCATATCCACCATTCCCCACATATTCACTGTAACAAAACACAATACTGTTTACTATAATGCACTTTTATTTAAATGGACTTGGATGAGTCTGTAGAAGAGAACACAATGCACGCACACGCATGCATGCGCGGGCACACACACACACACACACACATCTAGGTTATAGTGCTATACACATATCTAGGGTTTAGGAAGCACGAGAATGTGTCGAAGCACCCACACATACCCCTTCATGCAGTGTACTTCAGTAGCCCAACACATTACGACTGCACAGGACCATCACAAAACACATTACGACTGCACTGTTACTACACTACACACACAGTTACTACACTCCGCCTGTTACAAGTACTTACAAATAATTTTGAAACAAATGGCACATCCCGAAGACGGCAGGTCCAGACCTTCATACATCATCATCATCTGTAAAACCAAGCATGAGCGCACACAAACACTATTAGTGTCAAGAATACGGAAGCAGGGTATTAAAGACAAGAGGATACGAAACAAGTAAGTATCGCTATAACGACGGGGATAAGTATACATGTAGACAGAGCAGTGCTTACTTACAGGGTCCTAATACGCTCCACGGCGTCCCGGTAGTCGGACTGCAACAGCAGCCCGACCTGCCGGCCCTCCCAGTAACGGGTTAGATGGGCCGCACCCGCCAGGTGTGCGGCCACGGCTGGGCCTCCCACCAGCCTTTCTCCACTGTAAAAACGAAAGAAACCGCAGAAAGCACAGTGTCATAGAGCTCTTTTGTTGGGGGAGAGAGCTAGGAGCACCGCACACTTACCATTTGTCACAATATATGATGAGAAAGAGGCGGCGCTTGACGCACCGCCTCAGGCGCGGGAATAGGGGTATTACCTCTGACATTCGAACGCTACAGTGACAAGTGAAAGCCATTTGGACTGTAATGATACTGAAGTGAAGGTGTGAACCGCAAAGCAAGACCTTTACCTTCTTCCTGTCGAATTCGCTCCCCAGCTGCATACCGACATCATCCGCTAAAACCCAATCATACCAAGTAACGCAAAGGTCATCAGTTGACCTTTTGGACTTTTCAACTCTTATCCAAAACCACCAAGAGGAAAAAACCAGGATGAAGAAGACGTCAGTTGTAGAAGCGTTTGTGGAGGAGTTGTTACATTATTCTCAGTAAATAGATATGGCTGATACATTCGGTGTAGACGTGGACGACCGGTCGTGGTCTCTCACCACGGGTCCTTTACTAATAGAAAGGCGGACGCCAATAAGAACTGTTGTGGAGGTGGCAGATCAAAACGCGCAGCAAGAAATTTGGCACGTGGATGGTAGACTCCATCGGGAGGACGGACCAGCTCTTGTTGATAGTAGGGGAGTGTCCGCCTGGTGCTATGAAGGTCGCCTTCATCGCGTTAATGAACGGGCTTGGATAGGACGGGGTAGCATCGAGTACTACCTCAACGGCGCCTAGAGCCGGCGGTCCTGCAGCCAGTTATTGTGACGCCACATGCTGTATTCTACGGTGGTATCACCAAGGAAGGCTCCACAGGGAGAATGCGCCAGCGGTTATACACAGGGAAGGTAACAATCGTGTACGGGAGTGGTACCGATACAACCTTCGGCATAGGGAAGATGGACCTGCTTTCATCTCTCAGGAGGAGGAGGGTGTTTATCAGTGGTACCTCAACGGGGTGTATTACGGTGACCACCATCAAGACCAGGCAATACACCCCATGGAGCTGCAGTACATCAATGTAGTGCCTACTAAGGTAGACTCGTCAGCAATAAGTCATGAGTCCAGTTGTGTGATTTGTCAGGATACCCTGGATCGTCCTCAATCCAAGTTGGAGTGTGGTCATGAATTTCACTTCCACTGTATCAAGGAGTGTATCAGTTCTGCCCCCAGCCCTACTTGTCTAACCTGCCGCTACTCCATGACTGCTGAGGACTTGGTTGAGTTCTTGTAGTAATACATGACACAGCTGCATGTAGGCGACTACGAATGACCAGTCATGTGCTACAGACGGACACGGACACGCCACCCTAAGTAGCCATGAGCGTCTCTTTGGACAAGGGCAACAAAGCACCCCGTGGGCGGCCAAGGTTGACACTAGCCACAAGTCTGCTCGCTCAGTTGAATAAGCTGGGTGTGCCCATGAAGACCATGGAAGACCTTTCCAGGTGCCGGCAACAAGCAGAGGACAAGACAGACTGGAAGAAACTGTGCAGCTCGACACTCGAGGACAAATCAGTATCAGCAGCTACTACACCTTGCTGATGATGCTCACAAGACAGAAGTGGGAAAAACACTGAATTTCTTTATTTAGTGCTCAACTACGCGAAATGTGTTATTATTATTATACATGTTCAACTGTACTCAGTCTGGCTGACTGCCATTCTCTACCACACATTACCGGACACTGTTGTGGGTGTCGTCGTTATCGTCGTCGTTGTTGATGTTGTTGTTGTGGGTTGTTGTCGTCGTTATCGTCGTCGTTGTTGATTTTATTGGTGGCTGTTGTTGTCGGTTGTTGTCGGTTGTTGTCGTTGTTTGTTGTTGGTTGTTGTTGGTTATTGTTGGTTGTTGTTGGTTGTTGTTGGGTGTAATTGTTGGTTGTTGTTGGTTGTTGTCGGTTGTTGTCAGGTGTTGTTGGCTGTTGTTGGTTGTTGTTGTCGGTTGTTGTCGGTTGTTGGGTGTTGTTGTCGGTTGTTGGGTGTTCTTGTTGGTTGTTGTTGGTTGTTGTTGGTTGTTGTCGGTTGTTGGTTGTTGTTGGTTGTTGTTGTTGGCTGTTGTTGGTTGTTGTTGGATGTTGTTGTCGGTTGTTGTCGGTTGCTGGTTGTTGTTGTTGGTTGTAGTTGGTTGTTGTCGGTTGTTGTTGTTTGTTGTCGGTTGTTGTCGGTTGTTGTCGGTTGTTGTTGGTTATTGTTGGTTGTTGTTGGTTGTTGTTGTTGTGTGTTGTTGGGTGTTGTTGTTGGTTGTTGTCGGTTGTTGTCAGGTGTTGTCAGGTGTTGTTTGCTGTTGTTGGTTGTTGTTGCCGGTTGTTGTCGGTTGTTGGGTGTTGTTGTCGGTTGTTGGGTGTTGTTGTTGGTTGGTGTTGGTTGTTCTTGGTTCTTGTCGGTTGTTGTCCGTTGTTGTCGGTTGTTGTTGTTGGTTGTTGTTGGTTGTTGTTGGTTGTTGTTGGTTGTTGTTGGCTGTTGTTGGTTGTTGTTGGTTGTTGTTGTCGGTTGGTGTCGGTTGTTGGTTGGTTGTTGTTGTTGTTGGTTGTTGTTGGTTGTAGTTGGTTGTTATCGGTTGTTGTTGGTTGTTGGATGTTGTTGTCGGTTGTTGTCGGTTGTTGTCGGTTGTTGTTTGTTGATGTTGGTTGTTGTTGGCGATTGTTGGTTGCTGTTGGTTGTTGTTGGTTGTTGTCGGTTGTTGTCGGTTGTTGTCGGTTGTTGGCTGTTGTTGTTGTTGGTTGTTGATTGTTGTTGGTTGTTGTCGGTTGTTGTCGGTTGTTGTCGGTTGTTGGCTGTTGTTGTTGTTGGTTGTTGATTGTTGTTGGTTGTTGTGGGTTGTTGTCGGTTGTTGTGTTTTAATCGTTATTTTGTTCATTATCCAGGAGGATGTTGCTATGATACAGTACCATTTTTTCGCATATTTGAGACAAGTTTGTGTAACGTTAGTGTGACGTGGGGTATGCTGATTGGATGTGAGGTGGTGAGAGTATGCTGATTGGCCGATAACAATTAGTGGAAGGGATAAAGTAATGCGCTGCTTGTGCAGCTTAACCAAACACATGGTCTGTGGGAAACACCTTAGTAAAATAAATATAATAATAATAACATGAATTGCCACCGGCACCTGAGAGACTCGAGCCCCGCAACCTTGTTCAAATCGGACTTGGTAGCTTCGTACTGGAACTTAATCTTCTTCTTTTTGAGGTATGACCATACAAAACGCGCTTGGATTTTTTCATTTATTTTATTTTTTTTTTCATTTTTTTTTCATTGCGACATTTTTAGCAGATGTCCACTCGTGAAACAAAGGTGAATCTGGAACGAATAAATGGTCCATGTCAAAGGCATGACGAGTCTTGAAGTCTTCACATTCATGATGGAACCTTGTCATGATTGACGCATTCCTTGATGGTGCGCACATGAAATCACCCTGCCCCATCTTTTCCAATTCCATTCTTTTCACATCCTGCAACACATACCCTACTAGTATCAGTGGGGGGTGCTAGAATCAGAAGAGGCAAGGCAGCACTCTTCCGTGGATGTATTACTCGACACAACACCACCCATACTTGTTTTCTAGAAGTTTTGACTATAATGATTATTGCAGTAGGAAGTAGTATATAGTCAAATAGGATAGGATAAGAATGAATGATCAGCTGTCTGATAAAGAATGCAGTTCATTAAAGACTTATTGGAAGCTCTCTACCAGCTGATCGTCTTGTTGGACGGCGACACTGCATAATGATATGAAGCTCTCAGTTAGCTGTTTCAGTTCCGTGGTAGAAAGTGTCATGTGCGCGTCCAGAGCAGGATGAAAACATCTGGGCTCCACGTGGATGCAGACGATTGGAGCAACAGTAAGACGTACCTTCAACGCCTGCTCGTCAATGTCGAGGGAGACTGCCCCGGGGTAGATGAAAACATCTTGTTCCACATCCAGTTCGAACGAGCTGGTCGGGACTAGCTTGCTTTCACCGTTGATGTACACCCGACACTGACCGTAGGACGAGCGTGATGGGTAGAAGTTGGTCTTGATCTTCTCCACACGTCCTCTTCGGAGAGTGTCACGGAGCGATGGACAAGTCTTGATCAAGTTCGTAATGATGAACTCAGTGGACTCATTCAGTTCGATGTAAACCTGTCCTTGAGCATCTTTGCGAGCTGTTGCCGTACTACCACAGGCTGGTAGAGCTCCTGAAGGGAAGTACATCTTATAACCAGGCTTGTAGAAGGATCTACCTGATGACTTGTAGGACAGTTGCATGTCCTCCTGAAACCCATCCACCACAATCTCTTTGTGGAGCTTGGTAGGAGCAGGTGGCACATAGCGACGCTTAGCCGGTACTGCGTTCGAAGAGAGCACAACTTGAGGAGGGTCAGCAGGAAGAGCGGAATTCTTCCTCACCCGTCGCTCGTATAGGGAATCCATCTTCCAGGAAGCGAAGGCAGAACAACTCATCAGCACTGTATTCGATGAACGAATGACTCAACTACAGGACAACCATCTGTATTTATACAAGTCAGAGACGGGGGCGGATTGAAATGTTAAAAATATGTGTCAGCTAGATCAACCAATCACCATCAAGCCCGACACAAACATTTGCCCAATCAGCATTGAGCCCGCCAAAAAACATTTGACCAACCAGCATCAAACTCGCCAAAAACATTTTGTCCAGTCAGCGGCATGCCCACCAAATAATATCTCATCTTAAAGATTCCTTACATAATAAAGCCACTTTAGTGAACTGATACAGTATGCAAATAAGATCAAAGTCAAACGTGTGCAAGTTCTGAATCACGTGATCAAGTGAATAGGTTTCCCAACAATAGGCATCAATCAAAGATGTCATAAGAGATGTATCAGATGGAGATAAAATCAGCAAATTCGTACGCAACGTGGACAGTTGAGATGAAGACACCATCCTGGTCGACTCCATGAGATGCAGTACATATAGGAGTGGAAAATGCTGAGGAAGAGGTTCCATGATTCGACTGAACCTCAACCATGATACATTGCTACGAGGTAAGTAGGAACGCAGTTTACGTAGTACATCCACATTCGTATCGTATACTATGCAGGATAATGCTATAGCATAGTTTATACTCTTGTACAAACAGGATTTTTTCATCGCAAGTATCTGCTC